AGGCGCTGGTGGCTTACGCTTGTAATCCTAGATAAACAGAAGTCTGAGATCTGAGGATCGCAGTTCAAAGCCAGCCCAAGCAGGAAAGACCATGAGACTCTAATCTCCAGTAAACCACCAGAAAACCAGAAGTGGAACTGTGGCTCAAGTAGTAGAGCGTTAGCCTTGAGCTGAAAAGCTGAGGGACAGTGCCCAGGCTTAGAGTTCAAGCCCCATGACTGACAAAAAAAAAAAAAAGCACAGGGACTACAACCAAGGCCCTAAATTCTAGCTCCAGGATGGGGACACACACACACAAAAGGCCACGTGGATGAAGTTACCAATAGAATTGAGGTTATGTTACTGGAAAATGGAGACAAGTGGATCATTAAAGTGGTAAAGAAGTTGGCTGACTGGTTTTCTAGTGTTTTATGTGGAAGACAGGACCTGTAAAGGATGAAATTAGATATGTAGTTGACTTTTTTAAGCACAATGTTGAAGGTCTTCCTTACTGCTTATAGTAATACACAAGAATTGGGCTGGGAAGGTGGCTCAGTGGTAGAGTGCTTGCCTTGCATGCCTGAAGCCTGGGTTCGATTCCTCAGCACCACATAAGCAAAAAGAAGAAAGCTGGAAGAGGCGCTGTGGCTCAAGTGGTAGAGCGCTAGCCTTGAGCTGAAGAGCTGAGGGACAGTGCCCAGGCCCAGAGTTCAAGCCCCATCACCGGACCAAAAACAAAAAAAAATACACAAGAATTTAGGGATGGATAGAAGTAGACACTGTTAAGCAAACAGAAACAGAACTTAAAAGATTTTAGAAGAATTTCAGCCTACCTGTATTGTAAAAACTAAGAAAGCTTTTTCTAAAGAGAAGGTATGGCTGAACAACCATTTGATAAGAGATTAATATGAAAGCAAACCAAAAATGTAACCAACCACCTCAGTAGCAACTAGGGATAGAAAAAAATGACTAAGAATCGAAGAACGCTGTTGGGACTGTTTAGATTCCACAAGACCAGCCAGTACATTTATCTGGCTGTAAATGTGAATCAACCTTTAAGGATGGGGAAAAATGACCTTGAAAGGTGATCCAATAATCTGTAGTGCTGCTATTCTTACCATAGGCCCCAGGAGGCCTCGGGAGCATTACATCAAACCAAAGAAGATTGTTTTCCAGCCAGAAGATGTAATGGATTCTATCTTCACAGGCTTTGCACATGCTAGGGATCTTTCACCTTTCTGGAATTATCTATCCTATCTCTGTCCATTACTATATTTTGTAAGCATATAACTCTTCTTGTTTCTCAGCTGGAGAGAAATTTTGTCTCATGCTTGCTCTCATGATACTTAGACATTGGAATTTAGACCAGAGTTAACACTGAAATAAGTTATGACTTCTGGGGGCTATTGGAATGGGATGAATATATTTTTTATGTAATAAGGACATTGATTTTGGAGGCCTGGATGGGAAAGCTATGAATTGTTTCTGTTCTAAGATTCATGGGGTGAAGACCCAGTCTCCAATATGACTGTATTTGGAGACAAAGTTTTTTTTTAAATTTAATTTAATTTTATTTGTGAACATACTGTACAGAGGGGTTACAGTTACATGGGCAGGATAATGCGTACATTTCTTACCAAGCATTGCAGCCTCCTCCTTTGTTTACCCTTCATATCCCTTCCCAGCCTCCCTCCTCGCCCCTGGAGACAAAGTTTTAATGACGCAATTAGGTGTAACTGACATCAGAAGAGTAAGACCCTAATCTAACTCAATTTGTGGGTTTACGGAAAGAAATATGGAAAGAACTCTCTCTTTCCACCATGTGAGGACCAAGTGAGAAGGTGCTTATCTACAATCCTGGAAGACAACCCTTATCAGAAACTGACACTGGCAGATTTTGATCTGAGACTTCTAGGCTGCAAAACTGAGAATGTATTTTTTGTTGTTTAAACCATCTGGTCAGCAGTGTTTTGTTAAGGTAGCCCAAGAAGATCAGAAAACATTTTCCTTTAATCTGCAAACTGACTTCTTTTTGTGTGTTGGTTCTGGGGCTTGAACTCAAGGTCTGGGCACTATCCCTGAGCTGCTGCTGCTTCTTTTTTTTTTTTTTTTTGCTCAAGGCTAGCACTCTACCATTTGAGCTACAGCTCCACTTCTGACCTTTTAGTAATTTATTGGAGATAAAGAGTCTCACAAGCCGGGAGCCAGTGGCTCACATTTGTAATCCTACTCAGAAGGCTGAGATCTGAGGATCATAGTTCAAAGCCAGCCTGGGCAGGAAAGTCTGTGAAACTCTTATCTCCAATAAACCACAGAAAACTGGAAGTTGTGCTGTGGCTCAAGTGGTAGAGCGCTAGCCTTGAGCTGAGGGACAGCACCCAGGCACAGAGTTCAAGTCCCACATCCTACCAAAACAAAAAAGAGAGTTTCACAAACTTTCCTGCCCAAGACAGCTTCGAACTGTTATCCTCAGATCTGAGCATCCTGAGCAGCTAGGATTATAAGTATGAGCCACAGGCAACTGGCCAAATTGGCTTCTTGAAGTACATATTTTTAAAAGTTTCTTATCTCTCCTCTATAGGAATTCCTAAGTAGAAATTATATACAGGGTCTGGGAAGGTGGCTCAGTGGTAGAGCGCTTGCCTTGCATGCATGAGGCCCTGGGTTCGATTCCTCAGCACCACATAAGCAAAAAGAAAAAAGCCGGA